GGACTTTCAGAGAGCCCAAGCTGCTGGATCGGCTGCTGGGAGTGTGCCTAACCCACCGTGATGCACATCTAATAGGGAGTACCTCATCCCATGCTGACAGTATCTTAATAGCCCTGACATATCCGGGGAATACGTGTTTATGAGACTTTAGTAGTTAACTTTCTTCATTCAAGGAAGCAGAAAGGGCTGTGTGATTAGTTCAACCCCAAGTTCTTAAGTAGAACTCAGGACTGCAGGGATGGCCATAAATGGAAGAGAAGATTATACCCTTGGTATCAGCATATCATCATGTGTAATGGGATGGCTTTCCTTTTCAGCTGTTGGGAAAAGGTCAGGCATTCTGTTTCACATGTTGCTGCTGATGCTGTTGCAGGCCAAGGGGCTTTAATGTTATTTGTGGAACTACTGGCGTTTTCAGTGGGATCTCCCCTCATAGGAGCAGCAACTCGAGGAACACCCAGCACTGTATCCACAAGTATTGGTGGATTTGTGTGTATAATGTCATGAAATCCTCTACCTCATAATAAAAGAGTGGGTGGACTAAGGCTGTTTGGCTTAAAGGGCTTTGCAACATTTTAATATATTAAAACAAGAGGCATCTGCTAGAAAACATTCTATTGTATATAACCCGAGCTTTTAAAAGCAAGTTTTCTTTGGCACTTCTCACTCCCTCCCTCCCCTTTCCCTAGCGTATTGCAAAAAGCTCTCCAGTGCTAAGGCATTGGCAGGGTATGTAAACAGCAACCAGCATATGTGGAAGAATAATACAAAGCTTTTTTTTTCTTTTTTTTGTTGTGTCTAATACTGTCTGTGGAGCAAGCATAAATAACAGGATCCATGCTAAGAAGTGTGGGCTTCCCACAACCCCTATTCCCCCTTTCACCTTGTGATTGGGCTGGGGTTGCATGGAGCCTGACAGGGGACCTGGACCCAACCTTTCATTTCTGTTACTCTTCAAGAGGCCCAAAGTTCCCTCTACTCTCATTTTGGCCCTGTAAGAAAAGGCTGGTGGTTGGGGTTTAGGCTGGGAAAGTTCAGAGTGCTGGTGTTTCAAAGTAGAAGGCACAGGCCCCAGAGGAGCTGCAGGGACCCTAGTCACTACCTCTTGTTCTTCTGGGACAGGAAACTGGTTTGATGATTTGGTAGTTTCTCCAGAATATTGGATCTAGAGATTACGTTTTTGAGAAGAGTTCTTCCATGTGACCTCACAGAGGCAGGGATGAGCTCTTCCTAAGTCCCTTGGTGTTGGAAGGCCGAGAATGGGGACATGAGTCTTATAATTGGACAGGAAATGCCCATGTTACCTGTTCAGAGTGCTGTGTGTAGGACACATTTAGGCATGACTAGAGGCTACCCAAGACCCAAGTATCACCCGCTCCACTTCTCTCGGATCATCCTTGCCATGTGACAGAGTCAGTGTCTTCAGTCTAGACGCTTGGCTTTGTCCAAAAAATAGCTCCTCTGAGCCTTGCATAAGATTTGGGTGACACTCTGATAATGGTGTTTATCCCTAATTATGTACTTTTTCCACCAGCCACCCGCATGCAGGATTGGTTGGTTTCTAAAGCTGCCACCCGCATGCAGGATTGGTTGGTTTCTAAAGCTGCCATCCGCATGCAGGATTGGTTGGTTTCTAAAGCTGCCTTTCGCACCGGCCCAGATTCCCCTCTTGCATAGTTAACCTGAGAAGCAGCACCTGTTAACTCCCACTAGTCCTTGTCACCTGGCTTGTCCACTAAATAGGCTTGTTGATAGTGGAAACCTGGATCAGAGAAAGGTCCGATGTCTAGAGACAGACCGGGCCGACTTAAAGGACAGTGAAGAGAGAGAAGGTAATTCCCAGACTCCCATCATACCCTGATAAGGCTGAAGACTACCAATGAGGCAGTGTAGACGGATCGGGGAGTACCTGCGGAGGAGCCCACCTGGACTACCCTGTGTCCTTCCACTCTTTGGTGGAGCGTTACAGATTTATGGCCCTTCTCCCCCAACCCCAATAGGCACCAGTAATGTGGCTGCCAGAACTAGCTTGGGCTGGCACAGAAATATGTCACGGGTGTCTTCTGGGATTGTCTGTCGCTACCCCCAGGGGGACAGCCCTCTGGAAAGCGGCAAACACCTTCCTACCTCCATTTCCCCAGCCTCCAGGGCTAAAGCGCGTGAGAGCAGGTGCAGTCATCAGCACGACCTCAAATCTGTTGACGTGCCAAAAGACGTCTTTGAGGGTCCTGGAGAAGCCGGGGGAAGAAACCCGGGGCCAGTTTGTTCTAAAGTGTCATCCACCCTGGTCCTAGACGGTGGTCTCGCTTTTCCAGAGGCCTGTTTTCATGCAACTGCCGCCAGTGGCCTCTGCGCCTGTCATACTGATGTCGTCGTACTTGCCCCCCTTGGGGGCGCCGTTCAGACTGGCCGTGTTTAGCGGGTAGGAGCGGCGTTTGCTCTCCTCGAGCGCCCCGCCCCCGCTGCTGCCCTTGAGGTTGTCACGACTGGTGCTGCGACGCTGGCCTGGCCGCCCCGCCTCGGGGAGCGGGGCTGCACTCGTGTCACTGCCCTCCGACGGCGTGAGCATGGGCTCGCCCTCGTGTTGGCGCCCGGGGCCCGGGCTGTTGCGACTGCTGCCCGGGTAGCTGTCGGATGGACTGTTGTGCAAGCTGCCACTTTCGCTGCTCAGCAGCTCGGGGGCCCCCGCTGCTGCGCTCGTCGGCACGCCCCCACGCAGGGCTTTGAGCCGGTTTTTGCCGCCGGCTTCCCCTGCACGATGCCCCTTGGCCCGACTCTTGTGCGCTCGGCGCCCATGGGGCAGGTTGTTGGGGTGGCGTGGAGCGAGGCTTCCCCGAGAGCCTGTGGGCTCTGGCTCAGCTTCCCCGCAGGCCGCCACCCCTGCCTCGCACACCTGATTCTGGGCCAGCTGCAGGTTGGTGAGCTTGCAGGGGCCCAAAGGTAGTGCGTGGCCACTGCTCCCACTTGGGGAGGATTTTAGGGAGGCCGGGCTCTCTCCAAACACTGGGGACCCGTCCTCTGGGGTGGTGGGCAGGGCACGGGGTGGGGCATGAGAGGCCGAGGCCAACGCAGGGGGACAGCAGGGGCGCCAAGAGGCCCTAACGTCTCTGCGCCTGGCACAGTGGTGGGTGAAGACAAAGAGGCCCAAGGCGGAGGCTGCCACCCCGTATAGACAGCTGTATACCACTCGGGGCAGCCAGCGCTGGGACACTGCCAGGGCTCCACAGCCCCACATGGCTAGGTATAGGAAATGCGTGGTCACCAGCGCCCCCAGCTGGGCTCCCGGAGAATAGAGGCCATCACCATTCTCTAGGGGCCCTGGCGTTGCCACCCCAGAGCGCCCAGCAGCCAGCAGGGAACCTGAGTCACTCAGGAGGGGGCCACCGCTCCTAAGCCTGGTGGGACCCCTCAGCTCCTCCCCTGGTTCCAGGGAAACTCTGCTGTTTTGCCCCTTTGGGTGCTGTGGCAGAGGACCCCTTAAGCGCAATCCTGCACACAAGAAGTAGATCCAGGTGACCAGAAGAATCAAAGCAACGGGGATGTAGAAGGCCCCTAGGCTTGGACGCCACTCCAGCCAGCAGCTGTGAGGAAACACAGAGGCCGTGGGTGAGGAGGGGAGCATGTCTAGGTGGGGCCCTTAGGCTGGGGTGGTAGTGGTGGTGAAGAACAGATGTGTGCAGAGGGAGGGACAGGCACAGTTAGCATGCAGCCAGATGAACGTGGCTTGGCTTGAATCTTTGGTTAGGTAGTCCCTTGCAGGTACCCCTGCCAGTGAACTAGAAGGCATGGGTACCTGGGGCAGGGATGAGGGATGGGGGGTGGGGGTGAGGCAGGTTTGAAAACATGCAAGGAACAGACTCACTATGTGCTGTGGTCCTGATAGTTGTGGATGTTGACAGCTGCCGTGATTCCACAGATAATTAGTGGGATCCCTCCAGCAATCAAGTAGAACCTGGAGAGGATTGAGGTTTGGGGAAGCAAGGTGAGACAGGGGAGCGGAGAAACCAAGTGCTCAGAACTCTTGGACTCATCTCTGTACAGTCCTCCTTCCCCTATAAACTCTGTTAGAATGTTTTGCCAGGGATTCAGGTCAAGTGGGTTCCTAGAGGACTTGGCCAAGATTATTCCAAAGGACTGTGTGGCCATATGTAGCCTAGAACCACCTCAGGCATTGCTGCTTCTTGCCTCAGGGAGTGATCTCCTCTGGACCTTAGAACCACCTTATAGGACTCTTTGGAAATCCTACTCTATTCTCTAGGGTTGCTATGAGGTGGAACCGACTTAACAGCAGCAGGGAGTTTTTGGTGCTTTGTTTTCACCCCTCCCTCCTCCCCTTCCCCGTGTCTTTTCCATTGCACAGCATCTACCGGAGCATGGGACGGGGAGCAGGTAGGGCAGAGTCCCCTTCCTGTGGAGGAGGTGCCCTCCAGGTGAGTTCCTTGTGAAGCACCCGCGCCTTCACACCCATCCAGAGCAGGGTCGAGAGTGAAGAGTAGTGCAGAGTGATGCCCACCTGTGGGGTCGAGGCAGTGAGGTTGAGGGACCTGGGCTGCTCCTTCTGGGCCATCCCAGAACCTCTTCCCTACTAGCATTTTTCCATCTCTTTGCTTCCTGTCCCAGCTCCACAGCTCTTTTATGCCAACACACCTCCCCCTCATACCCGGATACTCCTCAGGGCTCTGTCCTTGCTGTTACTGTGTCTGCTTCACTCCATGGTTCTCTTCCACACTGGGACTCCCCATTATCCCATCACTTAACTCTCTGGCTCACGTCTGACTTTTCTTTGCAGGTCCTCACTCTCCACGTTCAAGTCCCATCTCTTCTTCTGACCTCATTCTTACCTCTGGCAGGCCCCTCCCACCTCCCCATCCAGGTGGGACCGAAAATACTGGGGCAGAAGCCTGTATGTGTGAGCTTCTCTTTTCTTCTCAGCAGCTCCCTCCTCTACACCCAGGTCACCATCACTAATCATGGAGGGGTCACCACTGCCCTTCCCCAAGCCTGCCCAAGCCCTTTGTGCTTACCGCCTGGCAGGCCACCTGGTAGTTAGTGAGGGTGATGCCTCCCGCAAAGACGGCAGAGGTCATGGCCATGTGGAAGCAGATGTTCAGCAGCATGTGCCAGCCTTTCCGGGAGACATGGATGGAGCTGCCCCAGACAAGTCTTTGATTAATTCCCCCTGCCCCAGGGTCAGACCTGGGGTGGGGGTGTCTCCAGGTCACTGGGAGAGTCAAAAGGGAAGGGCAGGTATCTGTGTGCAGCAGGTGTGTGTGTGTGTGTGTGTGTGTGTGTGTGTGTGTGATAGCGACCACAGGGAAGAAGTCTTCCACCCCCAGATGTAGTTCCATCCTCAGAACTTTGAAAGCCCGAGGAAGTCAGGTGGGCCCACCTGAGGAGGAGACACTGCCAATGCTTAATGAAACCCACAGTCTTCCCCCCACTCCAGAACTCCCTCTTCCAGCAAGAGCGCCCACCTGTGGTTGAGGATGTATGTGATGATGGTGGAGAAGAGGCAGAGCAGTAGCAGGGCTGTGCAAGGGTACACGACGGGATGTAGCCCTGCCCCTGAGCCCCCAGCCTCTCGGGGAAAAGCACTCAGCTCCTGCAGAAAGGGAGGAAGGAGGAAAAGAGTATTAGGAAAGCAGCTATGGAGGCCTCTTCAGCTCCCCCAAACAGTTGTCTTTCTTAAACTCTGCCCGCCTTCATGTTAACAAGGATGTAAGCATCAGAAGTCTGCTCTTAGAAGATCAGTCTTAGGGAGCCTCAACAATCGACTTTTTGCCTCTAGCCTGATAGTATTCTTGGAAATTCTGGTGATCTTCAACCTGAAGAATCAGAGATGAGGGAAGAGAAGAGGGAGAAGCTGTCTGTGTAATACAGTGGCATGTTGCTTAGGGGGTCTGGGAAAGTGGAGTGGGAAGTGTGAAGGAGAAAGAGTAGGGGCAAGCATGAGGATGGGAGCCAGAAAGAGCAGAAACGTTCCAATGCTTCCGCTGTCCCCCCAGTGAAGGATCTCGGTTAGGGTTAGGGTTAGGAGTTGAAGGCTAGGCAGAGTAGTTCCAAATCCACCTCTCTTGGCATGGCAGTGGAAGGACCTCCTTGTCTCCTGAAAGGAGCAGAGACATGGTGGGAGACCAGGCAAACAGTGCCCCAGGGTCCTGTCACGGGGTTGGCTTGGCCTCGGAACCTTTATTTCTGTCGCCCCAGGTGATCAGAGTGCCTCACATGCATTCCCTGTCCTCTTCAGCCTCCACTTCACCCACCATGAGCACAGCCACGTTGCCCAACTGCTGGCAGTACAGGTAGCTGACATTGGGCTGGCTGGAGCGGAGCTGGCAGCCCTCAGAGCTCCAGCCTCTGGGACCCCCAGGTCCCTCCTGACTCCATGATGCTGCCACCGGGTCAGCCCCCTCAGCCCAGTGTCGCAGAGAAATGGCCACTGGTTCCGTCAGGTTTCCCACGCCACAGCCACCTACAGGAGGAAAAAGACGTTCACACGTGCCCAGGGCCCTTCAGAGAGGTGGGGTCAGGACGGACTAAGAAACAGCAGCCTCAGCATAGAAATACCTGCTCTGGGCAGAGCACTGGGCTGAAGTATGATGGAGCCCGTGTTATTAGGTGTGAAACATAGCCCTCCTATGAAGGGGCCTCCTTTTAGCCAGTGGGCACAACGGATGAAAAAAATAGAATTACTCTAAATGCCGTATGATTGGTGCTAAATTAACAAGTGCTCTGAGGAGATAAGACTCAGGGTGGGGTGCCTGGGGGAGTATCCGATATTCAGGGAACTGGGGCTCAGTCTTAGCCCTGCAGAGAGTCAAATGAGCAACCCTGAGAGAGAAGTTGGCATCACAATAGCGATGTGGGATAAAGGAAGGGCAAGCAGAAGGCATTCCCCGTAGGGAGAGGAGCCCAATGACCAAGTGCTGTGAGGGGAACGTTGCCGTGAGGGGAACGAACTGCCACCACCCCTCACATGCTTCCACGCTAAGATGGAGCTTGTCCCCTGGTAACCCTTCCTTATCCTTAAGGCTCAGTGAGACCTGTGGTTCTTCAAGAAAGGCCTGCCAGGGCCCTAATTAGGTTAGGGCTTCCTGATACAAGCTCCAATGTGGAGTGCACAGCTGCTCGGTAATACGGGTTCCACTTACAAAGTGTTCCAAGCCTGTCTTCCTGGTGACTTGTATGTTCCTTGAGCTGACTTGGGTATGAGTACAGCCCTAGCCCCAGCCTGGCGCATGACAAGTATTCAGTAAGTGCTTAGGGTCGGAACAAGTGACCTGATGAAAGTAAGTCTTCCAGGGTCAGGGAATGAACCCAGGGAGTGAGAGAAAAGCCTCTGGCAGTGAGAAAGGGACATTTCACAGTGCTCTAGATGATGGTGGAGGAAGATGGGCTTAGTCCTCACTGCAGCAGGGAATGACTGAATGAAGGCCTTTGAGGAGTTCTCTACCTTGTGGCCGCATGTGGGACAGCCTAGAGATGGTGAGAGGTAAACAAAGTTGGGGGTGGCTACCCGTGACAGGCCAGGTTTGGGAAGGAGAGGCCAAGGATAGGGGTAAGTTTTCAGGCTGGATGGTGGGAAGAATACCTGGGTAAGTAGGGGAGCCTAACAATTAAGTGCTCATTTACTAACTGAAAGGCCAGTTATTTGAACCCACTAGCTACCCTAGGAGATATTGAGAGATGCTTCCGTAGAGACTAGAGCCTTGGAAATGCTCTGGGGCAGTCCTTTGGGTGCTATGAGTTGGAATTGACTCAATGGTAATGATTACTTTTGGTTGTGGTGGTGTTTTAAGTGAGATAACTGGTCCAAGAGAAAAAGGGTTAAGTTGGGTGGAGAGAGGTGTACCTGAAGTGTGGGTGCAGTTTGCCCATCCTGTCCCCCACATGCCAGGCCCCGAGCTAGATGGTGAGTCAAATGTGATATATCCCTCCCACCACCCACGTTGTTCTTCCTTCTGTGAATGCCTCCTTCCTGTGTGGATCTCTACCCTCCCTAACCCCCCACCCCTAAACCTACTGCTTTCCAATCAATTCTGATCAATGACCCTCCATCAAGGTTACAAGGCTAGAAATCTTAATGCGGTGAAGTGGTCTATCTGTCTTCCTCAGAATGGCTAGTGGATTTGAACCACCAACCTTTTGGCTAGCAGCCAACACATAAAGCACTCTGTCACCAGAGCTCTACCTCTCCTAGTGTCCCCAGGAACGTCATCCTTCAAAGCCCGTCCATATCAATCCCAGCTCTGAAAAGGCTGGAGCCTCGTTAGCACATGCCTGGCCTATTGAGAAGCCCCCTCTAACACCCCTGTGTTGCCCTGGAATGATATTTCAACCTCTCATTGCTCAGCTAGATGATAAACTCTGGGGCTGTGCTTCCAGCAGGCCCCAAGACCTATTTGCTGTGTCTGAGTCACTTCCAACTCATAGTGACCCTATGTGTGTGAGAGTAGAACTGTGCTCAGTCGGATTTTCAGCAACTTTTAAAAAAAGTAGATTGCCAGATCTTTTTTCCCCCAGGCACCCCGAAACCTCCAATCTTTAGGTTAACAATTGAGCACTAGCCAGGGAGTTTTTATAGCAGGTTATTATTGCTCGCATGTGTGCAGGCACCTGGGACAGATAGGGTTATGCCAGTGGTTTTTGGAAGAGGTGGGTTAAACATTTGTACTTATTTCTTTCTTGAAATTTGACACATCTAGACTATGAAAAGTCCGGAAGCAGGAGCAGCATCCACTTCCGAAATGGCTTGCCTCCAGAAACTCTATGTACAAACAGTGCTCAGGCCTTTCGTTCATAGGGTCGCTATGAGTCATCTACGACTTCACGGCACCTAACAACAACAACAGACTATAAAAACACCTTCGTCCTAGAAAGGGTTAAACCAGGCTGCTCCTTGGAAGCCAGAATTCTGAACTTCGTCTGACATACTTTGGGCATGTTGCAAGAAGGGAGCGGTCCTTGGAGAGGGAAATCATGCTTGGGAGGGTGGAGGGACAGCGCAGGAGAGGAAGACCCTTCGTGAGACGGATTGATTCAGTGACTGGGGTAATGGGGGTAGGTGTGTCGGAGACAGCGCAATTGGCACAGGACAGAGCAGGGTTTAGGGCTGTTGTACATAGGGTTGCTATGAGTTGCAGGCAACTCGACAGCACATAACAACAACAACAGACAATAAAATTAAATGTCTTTTCTCTTCTATCCCTTTTGTGTCCAGCCCAGACCCAGCCACCTTGGAAAACAGTTAAGGCACCCACGTCCTCTGCCTATTCGGCTAGAACACTAGGGGGTGCTGTGGGTGAGGAAGAAGCCGGAGCAAGGGGTTGAGCGCAGACGTTTGCGAGGGATCCTGAGAGCACGAGTTCACCCTTACTGGTTCCTGCAAAGATGACAGGGGTGGCCACGCCGCGCCTCTTGCCAGGCCCAGCGGCTCCAGGGCGGGAGGTGTTGCTGTGGCTGCGGAACAGGCGGCCGTTTCGGAAGATGAGCAGTTGCAGGGTGCAGTCTAGAGGTACTGGGGGAGCCAGGGCAGCCGGAATGGACGAGAACAGACTAGGGGGCAGCTGGATGGAGGCCAAGGCCACGCTGTTCTGGGGAGGACATGGGCGTTCCTCAGAGACACCCAGGAATTCCAAGGACTCCAGTGTCTTCCAGTCCCCTCCTCGGCCTCCCTTCTCCTTCCATCCCCCTATCCCCTCCACTTTTCTGAATCCCAGCTCCTCTCAGACCTCTCCCCCTCCCGCCTCCATCAGCACCGAGTTGGGCAGCTGCCCTTCATAGTCCCTTGCCAGCCCCACTCCTCCTCCCTCCAGTGCCCACCTTGACGTGGAAGGATGACAGGGAGATGTTGGGCCTGCCGGTGGTACAGTGGAAACGGAGCTCCTGGTCAACCAGGGGCTCAGACTCAGCCTGGGGGTTCAGGCCAGGGCTACCAGGGCGCACCGCAGATGCCCCCACTTCCGTCTTTTGGAAAGCTGTGCAGGTCAAACCCACGTAGCCCTGCGGCTTAATGAGGTGGGCCTCCAGTGCCACGTTCCTTGTGTTCTAGGGACAGCAACTTGTCAGCCTCACTTTGGTAGAAGACACCTCTCTGTCTCTCTCTCTCTCTCCTTCGCACCCCCTCCCTGCGTATCTGTTAGTCGTACCGCCCCTCCCCTCTATTCCCCACTGTGTCTTCTCAGCGCTGGGGGGTCATGTCTATCATAGTCTTACCCGACCACCTGCAGAATCTTCTTCTTCCTCTCAACTTCCACCCAGCACTTGACCCTCTTCCTGCTCACGTCTGACCTTGTGCTAGTGTTTGGTTCACTTGCTTTTATTCGGCTAAGCTCTAGACTAGTGATGTAGCTTACTTTGGTACCTCCTTAAGTGCTAAGCATACTATCCTGTATGTAGAAGGTACTGCACTGTGATTGTAAATTGGCTAACTACAGTTTGCATATATCACCCTCTTCTCAAGGAACAAAAGATCCCATGATGCCCCACTCACCTGCAAGTACCCTCTGCCTCCTTACAAGCCTTCCCTTTATCCCTTCTACCCCTTGGGCCCTTTCTTCTGTTTCTTCCTGCCAGGTTATCCCTTCAACTAATGAGCCTTGCTAGTACAGTGGTTAAACATGCAGTTGTTAATGGAAAGGTTCATGGTTCAAACCTACCAGTGGCTCTGTGGGAGAAAAGGCCTGGTGATCTGCTCCAGTAAAGATCATAGCCTAGGAAACTATATGGGGCAGTCTTCCTCTAGGGCCTTCAAGGGTCACTGCGAGTCAGAATCGATGGGAGGGCACCCAACGCATCCCTTCAACTTCACTCCTCACCATAAAGTCTTTAACATTTCGTGTATCACTGACTTTCCTCGCCCTTGCTCTGCTCTAGTAATAGAAGTTGCTATCATCCAATTCAACATTTAGTTGTGTCAAGTGTTCCATGCTGGTTGGGGTCAGGGAAGGTGCATACTTGAACTTAACCACTGGGAGAGCTCTCTCCCTTCTGCAGGATGAGGACTGTCCCTAGCCTGCTTGAAGGCTCCTGTCTGCTGTAAGGCCCCCTCAGTGCTTAGCTCCCACGATGACCCACATTACCACAGAGATGTGCTGGGAGTGGGGGTTGAGGGCGGCCCCCCCGATGCGCTCCAGGGCAGCCACGATGCTGCTGCAGGCCTTGTCCTCGCGCTGGGCCAGCCACAGCAGGTGCTCGTCCACCAGCATCAGGTTGCTGGCCATATCCACCATCACCTCCACCAGCTGGGAGGGACAGGGGAGTCACTGAGGGCAGGAAAGGGGCTTGGGACCCAGGGACTGGCATGAGGAGGCTTGGCCAAATGGTGGTTTCCAGTGGAATCTCACCTCTTTGATCTGATCAACATAACCTAAAAATTTCCGGATCATCTGAGCCACATAGACTACGTCCATCATGTCTGAAAAGCTGGCAGCCTCGGCCGTGTACACCCGCAGCTGGTGGGCCAGGGTCAGAGCGTTGGAGGCGTTGATGGGCATCTGGTGGTGTTGAGGGAAAAAGAGGGTCATCCTATCCAGTTCTTCCTCCTCCAGAACTGCCCCAGGAGGCCTCTCTCTCCAGGGCTGTAGCTTAGAGCACCAGTGGGGGGGAGGGGCGGCAGGATGACACCACCAGCTGGGGCTAATCAGGATCAGAAGCACATAGGAGGCACTGAGCTCATCAAAACCCGAGTTAACACTAGATACATCACCCTTTCCTTAAGTTGTACCCTCCCCCCTCCCCAGGGATGCCCTTGATGTGCTGCTGGTGGAAAAAGAAGCCTGGGGTGTGGAGTGGAGGCCAGGTCCACACTTTCTTAGTGGTCTTCCTTAGAGGTCTGAATGCAGAGTCCCCAGAGATAAGGTGCAGCCTCAAAGCCCTTCCTGTGCCCACCACTGCAGCCTTGATGGTGGGCTTCCCTTGGCCCGTGGTGTCGGTGGGGTTCTGCCCTTCCTGATGCCCTGAATCTGAGTAGATAGGGTGCCCCATCCCAGCCGTCTCTTGGCCTCACCAGCACGAAGGTGTAGAGGACCCGGGTGATGTCGTTGGTGTACAGACAGTGGGAGTAGTCTCCAGGTTCCCAGCGGCCAGCACGGTCACACCGGCGTGAGGCTCGGGTACCTGGAGCGCCCCCGCTTAGGGGCACAGAAGTAAAAGGGTACTGCAGGCAAGACTGGTAGGCTGTGATGCCAGCCAGAGTTCGAGGCCACCTGGGGCAGAGGGGAGAAAGGAGCAAATGACCCAGGTGTTCAGAGTAGGGCCCCACCCTGCCTGGGACCTTGGGGCTGGGCCGAGGAGAGGGCCTTCCATGCTCAGCTTCTAATGTTGTAGTGTTCTGACAGTGCTGTCACTAATGGTACTGGGTCTGGATCCAGAGATCTCATTGGCTTTAGCCACATCACTTCACCCTTCTGAGACTTCGTAGTCACTGCTGTACAATGGCGAAATAATGCCTGCCCTTAACTGATAGGGTCATAGAGGTATTAAAATGTGATATTTCTTGGAGAAGAGCTTTTTAAGCTGTTAATTTACAAAAAGAAAATTAAAATCTTCAATTTTGTGTAGCAGTTCTAAGATGGTGATTTTATACATAAAGGGAAGGGATTTCTAAATGTAATAATCACAAGACTTAGGGCGGAGTGACAAACGATGCTGCGTGATCCTGTCCTTCTGTGGTCTCCGGCAACAGTGACAGGGGCCTGGCCTGGGGTAGTAGTGGTGCTAGGGGCAGAATGGAGGCCTGCTCCATGGGGAAGCCCTCTGTAGAGCAAATCCAAACCTGAAGTCCCCGCGGTTGTTGGCGACTCGTTCTGCAGGGCAGTAGGAGGCGGAGGTCTCCAGCACCACAATCTCCACCTTCTTGCTGGTGTTGCCCTGGGCTGTGGACACGGAGCACTCCCATTCACCAGAGGCCCACACGCCGATGTGAGACAGGGTCAGCTCGCTGCAGAGAGGTGCAGGAGGACTCACAGGCCTGCTACCCTGCACCCCTGAGAACCCCCAAGCTGGCCCACCCACAGGTGCCATGCTCTGGGATGCAGTGCATTCACTTCTGATTCTTACCCCTGCCCCTTTTTTTCTGTTGTTTAATTGAGGAGAGATACGACTCCTTTTAGTCTGACTGGGAACCTACTTTCTGTGCTTCAGGGTCCCCATCTTTATTATGGAGATCAAGAAAGCACAATGGTTAAGAGTTCACCTGTTAAGCCCAAGGTTGGGGCTTTGAACACACCAACCACTTTTTTGGGGAAAAGAGCTGGCGATGCGCTCCTAACCAGAAGGAGCCTCAGCAGGGAGAAGTACAGTTCTCGCTCCTGTGTGTTCGCTATGAGTTAGAGACTCAGTGGCAGTGGGTTAGTGACAGCAGCACTGCAAAGAGAATGCCATGCTTGCAGGACCATGTAGACAATCAGCCTGTCAACACAGGTGAGACTGGCTACATACATTTTAAAAGCACTAATTGTTATGTTCCATTGAGTTAGAACCAGTGTCACTGATCCTCCAGAGGGTTTTCAGTGGCTCTAAGTAGCACGGGAGGACATTGCCCATCTTTCTCTTGCAGAGCAGTTGGTAGATTTGAACCGAGTGCCTTTGCATTGGCAGCACAACTCCTTACCCACTAGGCCACCAGTGCACTAAAGAAATGTCAAATAGAATAATTTCTTTTTCTATCAGACATTACTTTCAATTTTGTAATCAGACCATCTATGACTCGGTCCTGGGACCTCATAAATATGCATACACATACGTGTGTCCAGGTGAACACATACATGTCCAGAGACATGTGTAGGCATAGTCCTGTCAATGGGTGGGAGGTGGGTGCTGTGGCCAGCCCTCGCCCTGCAGAGTCTGAGAAGGGGTGGCTGGGTACCTGGTGATGAAGGTGCAGTCGTGGATGAGGCTCTCCCCCAGGAGAACACCTGCCTGCTCGTCTCCCTCCACGGGGGCCCGGTTGTGGTACCAGTGGATGTGAGTGTCATTGCCCAGGTAGCTGGCAGAACACTGGAAAGGCAACCGGTCCCCCTGGAACACCACTTGGCGCAGCGAAGGGATCAGGTGGTGTGTGTGCAGCTCCAGGGCCCCCTCTGCGGAGGAGACAGCAGACAGTGAGGCCCGTGTGCCTGCCGCCTGTTTACAAGAATCAGGGTGGGGAGGTGTCTAAGGGTGGGCCCCCTCAATGTCTAACTCATACCAGCTGGAGAAGGAAAGAGTCAAGGCAACATCTTTAGAGTTAAGAACAAAGGAGAGGAACTGGCAGGTTTTAGACAAATGAAAATGCTCCTTTCCCTGACATATTTGTTATCCCCAAGAAGTGGGACCTGATAAAAACACAAACAAGCAGACCCAAAGGAAGTTTAGAAGAACTGATGGAGATGTAATGAGGTCTGAAGAGAAGAGGCTGAGCTCAGAACAAGCCCATCACATAGCAACAGTGCTGACACAGTGCACATTGCCCAGTAAACAAGGTAAGCACAGACCTACTTGTGCTTTCTTACTGATCGGCAGTGAACATCAAAGATGTAGTGAAAACTGTGTACAACTGTTCACTAATGATTCATCAGTCAGCACTCATAAGCCCATGCTTATGCTGCTTATTGGGTCATCCACCCTGCTTGAAGACCCTCTAGGGCAGGACAGGCTACAGATCTGAAGGAGCACTGGGGCTGTTCAGAGGACCTCCTGGCCATCATCAGGGCCTGGGTCAGGGAACAGTCAGGGTCCTCATAAGCAGAGGAAGTGCTAACCACAGCGGAGCTGGGTCTCCAGGAGCACACCCAGAGCCTGCGCGTGCAGGGCACTGGGGTAGGAGCAGAGCGTGCGCTCCGACAGCTGCACAGAGTGATTCCGGGCCCAGGACAGCAGCCAGCGCAGGCGACAATCACAGGTCAGGAACTCGGTGCCGACGTCCCTGCAGAGGGGTCATGGAGTAAAGCAGAGGGTGTGTGGGCTCATGGGATGAGGCTGGGGCTACAGGAAGGGGTATGGCTGGAGAAGGCAAAACTAGGTATGTGTGTACTCCCTGCAGCCCCCCATAAGCATGAGGAGTTGAATATGCTGCCGGTTTAGCCACTGTTCCGTCTACTCACAAGGCTGGTCATCGTGGCCCCAGTGCTATCTTTCCCCTCCTGAGCCATAGAAGGGAGCAGGGTCTGAGTCCTTGGGCCGGCAAAGGTACTCACACAATCTTAAGAGCTGGCAGCTCATCAAAGACCCCAGGAGGCAGACTGGAGAAGATGTTCCCGGATATGTTTCTGCAGGGAGCCAGGAACAGAGGGGCAGGGTCTCAGGTCAGAGAAGGGTGGGACGGGAGGAGAGACCTGTTTCCTCCCAAGCCCTCACTCAAGGTGTGCCCTCCACCCAAACTCACAGTCTCAGAAGCTTGGGGAGGCCTTGGAAGGTCTCGGAAGTAAGGCAGCCAATCCGGTTGTTGGAGAGATCTCTAGAGGGACACACACAACCTCAGCAAGGTGACTATACAGTGGTATGGGGTCTGCTTGTGCGAAGGATACAAGTGTGGCAGGGGTTCATGTGGGGTGTGGGATGAAAAATTAGATGAGTTGGGACCAGTGCTGCATTTGAGCTGGAAATGTCCACTTGTTTGACCCCAGACTATGCCTCAGTAGGGTAGGAAGAGAGCTGAGAATAGGGTTGTGGAGAAGGGGTATCCTAGAAATCATGGAATGTCTAGAACTTTCTTCAGGGATCAGAGGCTGGGGCGAGCGGGTAGGGCATGCCACTCACAAGCGCTTCAGCTCCCCCAGACCGAGAAAGGCACCAGGCTCCACCGTGCTGATGAGGTTGTTCTTCAGGTCCCTGTGAGAGTCAAGTGAAAAGGTCTCATCCTGCCGCTCTCTGAGGCCACATTGCTCCTCTGAGGTTAGTGCTCTCATTGTTACCAGGGGGATGAGTTCCTTTCATACTCCAAAACTTTATTCTCTTCTAAATCTCTGCTCTTCTCAGTACTGGTTGGAAAAGTCTGATTAAGGAACATTCCCCTCAGACAATCAGGTCCCAAGGTGATGAGAAGAATCTGTACCTTGACTGCTAACCTAAAGGTAGGCAGTTCAAACCTACCCAGCAGTGCTACAGAAGAAAGAGCCTGGCAATCTACTTCCATAAAGATTATGGCCAAGAAACTACATGGGGTTGCCACGAGTTTGTATCAGCTCAATAGTGACGAACACCAAATGGCCCTTGGACAGGTCTCCTCAGTTTCCCTGAGGACCACCAAGTGTATTGATGGGAAAAAGGCTAGGAAGGATATAGAAGTCAAGAGAGGGTATTGGAAGGGCCTTGCATGAAGACATGAAACATGGTGGAAGCATGGAGTAGAGTGAGATCAGAGCTAGGCCTTGGTTTCCAACATCATTCCTCTCTCAATTACCTTGAATATCTCACTGGGTTGTTACGGGAATAATTTGGAAAAGTAGATGTTAGGGCCTTTTGTGCATGGTGTTCAAAAGGTATATTCTCACAGGACCTGGCCTCAGGGAGGTATTTTTCTAGCTGTTTTATCCCAGCATCTCTCCATTCAACAGGTAAGCAAACAGGTCATGTAGCTGATGAATGACCAAGTGAACTCTGACCTTGGGCAAGACTGTAAATCATCTGAGCCAGAACCCTCATTTCTCAAGTGAAGAAGCTGGGGCCCTGGGCTGGTAAAGTCTTGTTCAACATCATCAGTTCTGTCTTCTCCCCAGGGTCTCTCAGGAGCCCTCGGTGCTGGGACAGAGTCAAGAGGAAGCACTCCCCCCAGCCAAGCTTAGGCAGTTCAGGCAGGACCGGAGGGGGCTGTGGTCCTCCTAGGGAGCCAGAGGCTGAGCTCCACCCACCCTAAGGACCAGTGGCAGAGGAATCATTAGAGAAGAGCCTGACTCAGCCTGGTGTCTCAAACTGCCACGGTACAATTCCCACAGGGAAAGTGCTGAATGGACAGCTCCACCCACTGGGGACCTAGGTGGCCCCAGTCCAACACCTGAGACAGGAGCCTCCCACCAGCGTGTTGAAGCAGGAAGGACCACTGAGGACCAAGTGCGGGCCATCCTCATCTTCTGTGCCTTTCACACTCAGGGGAAGAGGTGCCTTGATAATCTGAGTCACTCGCCTCACCTGCTCACTCAAGGGCAACCTGGGTCTTTCCTGGGCCAAACCAAAACAGGCTTGCAAAATAGCTTCCCAGGAGGCCTCTCAGCTTGACCCAGATACCCTTCTCCTGGGGTGTCTGCATGCTGCATCCACAGTCTCACTCTCTGGGTTCCCAGATCCTCCCTCCCTCACTCCCAGGAGATTATGATGCAGGAGGGTGGGAGATTCTTGGAATAGCAAAAAGAGTCTGGGGGTCTGTGACAGTAAAATGGGAAACTGACAAGGGGTAACTGGGGCCAAGGCTCTGAGCTTCTCCCACGTCCCATCTGAGGCTGAAGGAGGCTCTTGGTTCTGTCTGGCAAAGTGTCAGGAATATTTTTTGGATTACAGGCAGGAGAGGGTTACAGAACAAGCTGGCTCCCTGCTGTGGGGAGAGGAAGCCTGTATCCAGGATGGGGAGGTGCTGTCCCACCAGGAGGCCTGTTTGCACACAGTCCCAGTCAGGGGACATAAACACCCAGAGGGAGTGAGATTAAGAAAACAACCTGCTCAGCCCAGCCCATGGCCTGGGTCCTCACACTTCAGTTTCCCAAAGACTCAGCTTCCCTCCTTGAATCTGCTTGAGCAGGACAGGAAAGCCACCAGGAAGAGCCAGTTTCCTGAAGGAGCGATGGTGGCATACCCAGACTTGCTGGGAGGTTACCCCAGTGCTGGACACATGTGTGCAATTTTGCAGACCCAGAGGATACTCACTGTATACAGAATGCAGACAGAACATGGGACTTGTGTCCTGTCTGCCCAGGGTCACCCTTCCTGCCCATCATCTCCCCCCTTGGCTGCCCAGACCCTGGCCCTCAATGCTCCTCCCCCAGGCTGTTGGAGCATGTGCCCCCTGGCCCCTGTTGGGGTCTGGCCATTCTCAGGGATCTGCCTCCCACCCCCATGCAGGGGACGGGTAGAGGGAAACACATTCCTCATTGTGTCACTTCCCTTCATGGGCTGCCAAGGGGCCAAGACTGCAGCCCCCCACCCCTTCCTTCTCTGCTCACTTATGTTTATTCTCATTTCCTCTTGGTCCCCCCTCATGAGCCCCCCACCCCTCCTGCCCCACTGATGCTTTGCAGATGGGAGCAAGGCGGCTGTTCAGGCCCCAGCCCCTCTTCCTGCCCTCCATTTCCTGAAACCCAGAGCCATGCTGGGGCCTCTCTGAGGGGGGAGCGTCCACTGAGGGCTGGCATTTTTTCCATCTTGCCTCATATCCAGAGTGGCTTTGGAGGTGACCAGGGCAGTTCCCATACATTGTGTAGCCTTCAGGAGCTGGCCTACTTGCCTGGAACCGGCCAGACTTGGGTCCTCTCCTGAGGCAGCTGACAGCTATCTAAAGTGCTGCTCGCTAGGCCGAGCTCTGACAGACCAAAGGCGCCTGAATCTCAGGCAGCTGGAGCCTCCTGGTCTCTTGATAAGGAAGGCAGTTAGCTAGCTCTTAGCTACACCCTCCTTAGTTACGGGAGGAAATGCTGTCATAGAATTTGGATATTATTCTTGGAAGGCCCTTATAGATTGGTGGTTCTAGACCCTTCCCATTTCTTATTGTTGTTAGATTTCATTGAGTTAGTTCTAACTCATAGTGACCTTATGGGACACAAACTAAACACTGCTGCTATGTCATTCTCAAAATCATTGCTATGTTTGAGCCCACTGTTGCAAACACTATGTTGATCTGTGTTGCTGAGAATCTCCCTCTTTTTTGTTGAGTCTCTGCTAAATCCCCAGGTGATGATCTCAACTGATACATTTCCAAAGCACAAATGAGAGTTTTGCCATCCTCACTTCTAAGGAGCATTTGACTGTGCTTTTTCCAGGAGAAATTTGTCTGCAAGTCCAAGGTATATTCAATATTCCCTGCCACTATTGTAATTCAAATGCATCAGTTTTTCTTGAGTCTATCTTGGCACCAGCAGCCAGGAAATCAAAAAACGTATTGCGATGGGGAAGTCTGCTGTTAGGGACCTCTCTAAAGTACTCAAGAGCAACGGTGTCTCTCTGGAGACTAAGGTCCGCCTGATACAGGCCATGGTCTTTGCAATCACTTGTTATACATCAGAGAGTTGGATAATGACTAGGGAGGACAGAAGGAGAATTGACGCCTTTGAGCTGTGGTGCTGGAGAAGAGTATTGAATGTACCATGGACTGCCAAGAAAACAAACAGATTCATCCTAGAGAGGATTAAACCAGGCTGCTCCTTGGAGGCAAGGATTCTGGGGCTTCATCTGACATACTTTGGACATGTTGTAAGGAGAGACAGGTCTTTAGAGAGGGATGTCATGCTGGGGAGAGTGGAGGGACAGCGCAGGAGGGGAAGACCCTCTATGAGATGGATTGATTCAGTCTCTGGGGTAAACGGGGATGGGTGTGTCAGAGGCAGTGCGATTGGCACAGGATAGAGCAGGGTTTAGGGCTGTTGTACATAGGGTCGCTATGAGTTGCAAACGACTCGACGGCACATAACAACAGCAACAACACCTTATTAATTGTCCAGCATTCATATATATGTGTGAGTTTGTGTGTGTGTATATATATATATATATATATGAAAATTTAAGATATGACTTGGGTCAGGTGCACCTTAGTCCTCAAGGTGACATCTTCGCTTTTTAACACTTTAAAGAAGGGGGATTTCTTAGCAGATTTTCCCAATGTAATGCATTATTTTAATAACTTGACCACTGCTTTGATGGAAGTTTAGTATAGATCCACATAAAGTCTTTGACAACTTCAGTCTTCTCTCCATTTATTATGATGTTGCTTTTTGATCCAGTTGTAAGGATTTTCGTCGTCTTTATGTTGAGGTATAATCTATACTGAAAGCTATATAGTCTTTGCTCTTCATCATTAAATGTTTCAAGTCCTCTTCACTTGGAACAGGTTTTTATAGAGGCTTTTGCCAATCCTGATGTCATGCTCTTCTTCACACAGCACAGATTCTCGGATTAGTTTCTTGGCATAAAGATTGAATAAATGGTGACAAGATGATAATCTGATGCACATCATTCCTGACTTTTAACCCTGTAGTACCCCTTTGCCTGCACTGGCAAATGCCTTTGCATATTCAATCAAACACAGATAAAGATCTTGCTGGTGTTGTTTTCAACCAAGCTCCAGCTAGCATTAGTAATGAATGCTTTCCCTTATTCTAAGTCCTCTTCTGAATTCAGCATGAATTTCTGACAGTTACATCTTGATGTACTGGTGCATTCATTTTTAATAATCTTCAGCATAATTTTACTTGCGTGTGTGCTAGTAATGCTGTTGTTTAATGATTGATTTCTACATTCTGTTAGATCACTTTTCTTTAGAATGAGCACTTACATGGATCTCCTCCAGTGGATTGATCAGGGAGCTATTTTCCAAATTTCTTGGTATAAATGAGTATTTCCAGCACTGCAACCATTTTCTGAAACATCTCTTAGCATTTCATCAATTCTTGGAGCCTCGTTCTCAGCAATGTCTTCAATGTAGCTTGGACTTCTACCTTTACTACTTTGGGCTCTTAATCATATGCTGCATCCTGAAATAGCTGAATATTAACTAATTCTTTTTATTACAGTCACTCTGTGCATTACCCCCCCATCTTCTTTTGATACAATTGCCTCATTCAATTTTTTGTCCTCCATAACATCTTTCCATATTAACATTTGAAGCCTGAAATTGTTTTCTTAGGTCTTTT